CCCAGGAGGGATGACAGAGCTGCCAAAGGCTCTCCTGCCCCAGGAAGCAGCCTGCACCAGGGACCAAGCAGCTCCCAGGTTCCAAGCCCTGGGCCAGGCTGGAACATGTGGGGACAGAACCCAAGAGGATCCTGAGGAGACAGAAGACAGCAAAGAAAATCATGCACAATGGGGAAAAGTGCTCTCCCTGACCCATGGAGACCCACGGTAGCACCCACGAGAGGGTGGCAGGATGGAGGGAGCCGTGAGCCTCCCCAGGCAGCATTGACAGCACCAAATGCTAGGGGCACTCAGGGTCCTGGAAACTCTCATCCAGGTCTGCTGGGAACGTGACATGGCACAGCCACGTTGGCCGCCAGTTGGGCAGTGGCTTACAAAGCTCAATGCACTTGAACCACACGTCCCCAAAGTGTCACAGATATTGAACCCAATGACTTGGAAACTGACGTACACATGAAACCTGCGTGCCACATTCACTGCTTCATTCATCGTCACTCACACACAGAGCCTTTGGGGACGACCATCAGCATGGGAATGGGGCGAGGAAGGTTGGTTCTGCCTTGAAACAGAAGACTCAGTGAGAAAAGGGAACAAGCTAGTGATGCCCACACGAATGTGGGTGGAACCTAGATGCATTTTGCTAAGAGAAAGAAGCCAGACTCAAAAGGCTACTACTGCAGGATTCCCATTCCTAGGCCATTTGGAAAAGGTCAAACCAGAGGGACTGAGAACTGGTCTGGGTGACCAGGAGCTGATAGAATGGGGAAGGCGGGCTGCATAGGGGCCACTCTGGAGACTTAAAGGATGAAGGAGTCACTCCCAGAGGGGCTGGAGCAGTGGCCAGGAGACTCTGCACATTGGGTTAGAACAGTGGCAGAACTGTACACCCGAAGACTGAACTGGCGTGTGTGTAAACTGAAAAAAAAAATCAAAGCAAAAATGATTAGTCAACTGTCCAACTGGGATATCTGCATTTCATAGATGTGGACTTTACTGAAACATTTCTTAAACAGTCAGGCCCCGAAGAGCTCACTGCTTCTCTGGTGAATCATCTGAACCTGAAATGGGATTTGTTGTTAGGGTTTGTAGACAAAGTGAAACTAATAGCATCTCCACAAAAGAAACGAAAGCCCCCTTTCTCTGTCTCCTAGGCAGTGAAAACTATTCCACGTCCTGCTGGCCTACGCAGAGTATAATCCGGTGAGTATTCCGGGCAGTGACCACATTCCCAGGTCATATTCCCATGTTCACTGGCGTGGGTGTCGTTGCTTCTTTCCAAATCAGTATTTGTGAGCCACCAAGATATAGAAGGCATGACTCTAGCTCACCACTGGCATAAACCTCCAAGCAAGGGGGTGGTCTCAAGGGGTCAAACTGAGTCACAAAGGAGTCAGGGCCCTGACTCCTGGTGTCACCTGGGCCTGACCACCACTTCTCAGAGCAAGAAGTGATGCCTTCCTCCTGGGACTGCCCCAAAGCCCAGGAGCTTGGCGGTGTTGCACACAGGACAGTGCTCTCAGGAGACATTTTGATCAGTTGCTGAAGTTCCTGATGGACATGGCTCTTGTCATGAAATGAAATGAATCTGCATCCCGAGGAAGACTCTTCTTCAGAGGAAGCCTCCCCAGTAACCTCTGTCCTCTCCAATGACATGAGTCCTCCCAGGTGACCTCAGTACCCAGGTGATATCCTTCCACAGTGATGTCCTTCCACGGTGACTCTGGCTCTTGCAGGAGGTGGGCTACTGCAGAGACCTGAGCCAGGTGGCTGCCTTGTTCCTGCTGTACCTTCCCGAAGAGGACTCATTCTGGGCACTGGTACAGCTGCTGGCCAGTGAGAGGCACTCCCGCAGGGTAGGTGGACAGGTGCCCCAGGGCCTCTTGCTACGAAACCTGGGGATGGCCACCCTGGCCAGGTGATCTCAACTTTCAGTGAAGGCACCTTCCTGTGTCGCCAGCTTGTTGGGAACCTTTAGGCTGTCTCTGCTGAGGGTCCCACAGGAGCTGGGGGCTGACCCCCGGAGCCCAAGTCAGACGCCTTTCATCCCCATCAGCAGAGGGCATCGCATCCTCCCCGTGGCTGCCCTCTGTGTCCTGGAGCCACGCCTTCTGGCTCTGATTCTGTGCAGCTGACTCTCCCCTCCCTGAGAGTCTTCCTGCCCTTCAGCTGCCTGAGCTGCAGCTGCCCTTGGTCCCCACGAATGGGCTGACCGAGCCCAGATGGCAGCATCTTCCCATCCCATGTCCTCTGGCCCAACGCCACTTCCAGGAGAGGACCACGAAGGCCAGCACCCACTCTGTTCTGGCCGCCCTCTGTCTTGGCCTAAAGGTCAGCCTTGCCCTCCCAGCACCCTGGCCCAGGAGGCCTCCAGGAGCACCTCCAGCCAGGCTCCAGGGGATGTTCCCACCCCTGATCCCCAGGGCCAAAACCGCATGGTAGGGTCAGCAGATGGGAGGGTGGGAGGCCTTGGGGACTGGGGGCTTCTGCAGCTGCCCAGCTCTTCCAGCTGATGGCTCCACATCTTGGGAGAGGGCTCTGATTTCATGATGGGCTGGGGGCTTCTCAGGATTCCACAGCCCAAATGGCTGGACACTCCAGGGGCTCCAAGACCATTAGGAGCATGTGGCGTCCTCATCACAACCCAAGACCATGTGGCATCTGGTGAGTTTATGGTCCTCTGACTCTTCTTCAGAGGCCCTGCATCACGTGGGGCTAGAGGAGCAGGGGGACTGGAGTCCCTCCTGGGGCTGGTGACAGGCTGAGTGGCAGCCAGGGCCTGACCTGGGACATGGGGTTCTTTGTGGGCTGGGATTTGGGGTTTTTTCCAGCCCTGGAGGAGACAGAGGCACAGGGACTGAGACTCAGCTCCAGCAGAGCAGGGCCAAGGGCAGTGTGTCCCCTGGGAGTGCGGGAAGGGGAAGGTGTTGTGGGGAACCCTGGACACCGCCCAGTGTTCTGCACTTAGGGAGGGGTCTTCAGTGGGCCCTGGAAGAGGGAGGTTTCTAGAGCAACCCAGGGGGCCCTGAGCACCTCTGTTCCTCCCATCAGGACAAGGAAGGACTAGGCGCACAGGGTTCCTCATTAGGCTGGCTTCTCCGGATGCTCAATGATGAGGTAAGGAGGCACAGGGAATCTCAGGGACCCTCCTTGCCGTGCAGTGCCCGCTCACCCCCAGCCCACAGGAGACACATGCAGGTCCCCACAGGACACACAGCAAGACCCTCTGCCCTAGAGGGATCATCCCAATGCAGAGGCAGGGACTGGGGACCAGCCTCGTGGGCAGACTGGGCCAGGATCTGACTTGGGAGGGCTCAAGGAAGCCTCGAGCCCCTCTCTCCAGAAGCCACATCCCCACTGAAATGAATGTCCCCCACGAGGTGCTGCAAGACCTTGTCTGACCCAGCCTCCCGGAGAGGTCAGGCCACCCTCATGGGGAGGGTCACTGACTCTGGGGACTGAAGCCCCAATGGGTCCAGCTTGAGCCCCAGCCTCAGCCTGGAAGGGCCAGGTCCTCCCACACCTGCTCTCTCGGCCTCACCCTGCACCTGTGGGATGTCTATCTCATGGAGGGGGAGCAGGAGCTGATGCCCATAACGAGAACTATTTTCAGGGGTCAGAGGAGTAAGTCCACCTGTGATCTGGGGAGCACTGGGGTCAGACCCCAGTTGACCTGAGGGAGCTTCCTCACACTGTCATGATCCTCTGTTCTGGACCAGAGAGAGGTCTGGCCGGGTGGGCTGGGAGGGCACAGTGACACCGAACCCATTCCCTCCATGACACAGATGAAAGTTGGGAGTGTGGTGAGCACTGCCCTGCCCAGGCCGCCCCCCAGCCACAGCCTCCTGTGCACATCTGGACCCCTGGGGTGGCCACAAAAGGATCCGGCACCACCCAGTGGGAGACTGAAGTGACCATGGGGTATGGACTCTGACCCTTCCCAGGGAACTCTCCTGGCCTGATGCCCACCCTGTCCCTAGAGCACCTCCTGAGAACATCGAGGTCTGGCCTGTGGGCACATTTTCGGGACTTGTTTTCCCATACCTGGGTATTGAATGATGAAAAAGTATTGAAAGATCTTTGGGCCTCGAGGCAAAAAATGACAAAGAAGCACGAGGACCTGCCATCCCCAAGTGGGCTCCAGTGCCAGGTCCCCTCCCGAGTCACCCTCTGGGGAAGTCAACAGTGGGGGAATGCCTGGGACCCCCAACCCTGCTACCTGGCCCTCCCTCTTCAGCCTTTCTTCCTCCTCTTCCTCCTAGACCGTAAGAAAGTACAGGAGGCCCACCGATCCTCAGGGCAAGCACTCAGTGCGTGTGGACTGGACGTGCTGTGCACGCAGGAGGGGGATGTGGGCAAGACCCTCCAACAAGCCCCCTCCCACTTTCCGTGGTGGTCCGTTGTCCCCCTCATGGTGCCCTCGAGGGTACCAGAGGAGCCAGACCCATTTGTGGGAGCCCCCATCCCTCCCTGTGAGCACTGACAGCCTCAGAGAGCAGCAGAGGCCCCTCACTCCTGCACACCCCTTCAAGGGTGCCAGGACCACGAGCCTTGTGCCAGGGAGACAAGGGAATTGGTGTTCCTGACCTCCAGAGCATTCAGGGACAGGACGCAGGTGGGACCCCGGGCCCAGAGCCAGAGCCCAGAGTTCAGCCAGATGTGGGAATGGTCAGTGCTGGCATGGACTGGGCAGTTCAGGAGAGCAGAGGGTGACCCACGTCCAGGCCCAATCACCCACTTTGGAGACAGGTCCCCATGGGAGGTGGCAAGGGGGCTGGGTGACAGCCAAGGCCCCTCCCACCTGAGTTCTGCCTGGGGGCTGTAGCCCTGGGAGGAGGGTGTGTGGCAGGAAGCCCCCAGCCAGCCTGAACCCCAGGGAGCAGTCCCAGGAGCCACTTGCCATACCCTGACAGCCTCCTCACCCCAGGTAGCATACTTCCCTCCCTCTGGGATCAGCAGACTACAGGCGTGTCCTCAGTGTCAGACCACCGGGGCCACACAGAGCTCCCGAGGACTGCAGAGACCCAGGCATGGGGGGCACGGCCCGGAAAGGCCTGCATGGGCTCACTGGAGACGCCGACCATGTCTGTTTTCCTTTCAGCCAAACCCGAGAAAGGGTCCTCGGCACCCAGGACCGTGCTGGCTTCACCTGGCAGGAACACCCACTGCAAGGGGGACAGTCAGCCCCCTCCCAGCCCAGCAACCCGGTTCCAGTGGCCCATTGGTCAGCTCTCTCACCATGGGCGCCTTGTCCTTTCACACCCTGTTTTGGTGGGGCTGTCTGTGGAAACACCTTACCCTGGGGGCACTCAGGGTGTGTCCAGCCCAGCCCTTGCTCAGGGAGGACCCTGTCATTCCTGGCGATTCATGGAATGGAGTTCAATGCCCTGGCTCCCAACGGCCCTGGATGTGGGGGGCCCTTGGTTCCCCCATTATCATTTTGAAAACAGCTGCTGGGTCCGTGTCCCTTCTGACTGTGTCCTGGACATCCCTGGGACCATGGGACAGGCCTAGCCCAGGAAGCCCATGAGGACCCCGACACCAGGCCCTGCCCAGGCCTATCAGCACTAAGAGGAAGGTCGGGAGATATCCCCACTGCAACATGGGCACCTGTATTTGGCCCCTTCACCAAATGACTGTGACTGGAAGAAGCCAGGGGGGCACCCTGCCAACTCCCAGCCCATCCTAACACTAACCCTGAACCTAACCCTAACCCTGCAGCCCCAGACATATTGGAAAATCCCGTTCAATGGGAGGCTTGTCCCATTAAGGCCACGAGAGAGAGAGAGAGAGAGAGAGACAGAGAAGCATGGCATCCCCGCAGCCCTGGCCAGCCAGCAGCATGCCCCATGGCCTCTGTACCAACCTGTGGGAGTGTTCCCCTCCCAGGGCACAATTCCCAGGCCAAGAGGGGCCTGGCCTAGATCCCCAGCCCTGGGATGAGAGGGGCACCAGGGGTATGTTGGGCTCCCAGCTGTAGTCAGCGTGACCATGCCAGGGACCCTGGCACTGGAGAGCTCTGCCACTGTCCCAGAAGCCGGGTGAGGCTAAAAGCCTTGCAGCCACTGCTGCAGCTTCGCCACCACCAGCTGCCTTCCAGCTGCCAGTGCAGGCTTTCCCAGTACTCCCACCGAAGAGAATTACGACGGATGATGTTGGTCCTGAGCTGAGCAAAAGAGCACACCCTGTGGATGGAGCTGGCTTCTTTCCCGGCCACCTCGTTTGCTGGATGGGCCCACGGAAGAAGTGGCCTTGAGACGGGCATGGGGACTAAAGAGGCTCAGCATCCGGCACCTGCCCTTACCAAGGCTCACCAGGCTGACACTACTGCTTGTTGTGAACTGAACGCGAGCCCGGGAATCTTGTCCAGCAAGGGTCCCAAACCTGGAAGAGAGCATGTGCCAGAAAAAAAGGAGAAAGAAAAAGAGCGAGGTCTGGAGGGCCACATGCGCTATGACCATGCAGCAATTTTATTTTTGCAATAGTTTCCATTATATAGTTTTCTGCTTAATGTTGTTTACATCATATCAAAATACTTAAGTCAGGTCACAAGGTAGGCAAGTTAAGCCCACTAAGTAAGTTACACCCAGTAAGTAAGTTACATCCAGTAAGTAGGTTACGTCCAGTAAGTAGGTTACGTCCAATAAGTCAAGGTAAGTAAGTTACGGTAAGTAAGTTACGCCCAGTATATACTTAAGTTAATATTTTACAATGAATGTAACAAGGGTCCAAAATGAAAACAATGAAACAATAAACCATAAGGAGCCAAAAGTGGACACAATGCCTCCCAAGTCCTCATATCCATAAAGTAATGTCTGTTAATTATTTTGAATAACATAGTCCCTCTCTCGGTTCCTGCTTTCCCTCAGCTCGACTCCCCCAACCGGGGATCTGTGTCCGGGCTCACCATATGGTGAGGCCCATTTCCTAGGGGCCTCACACGGGAGCGATCCCCACAGATCTCTCAGTTGATCTCCCTCAACTGCTGACCACCTTTATGTTGTAAAATAAATGTTTACTGTTGAAAAGATTTTGCACATGTATCTTCCAACCAGCCGCTCCGAATAATGACATTTTGCATTATCATGGCACATTTGTCAAAAGGAAGAAATTTAGGCCAGGTGTGGCGGCTCATGCCTGTAATCCCAGCAATTTGATAGGTGGAGGCAGGAGGTTCAGGTTCACTTGAGGCCAGGAGTTTGAGAACAGCCTGGGCAACATAGGTAGACCCTGTCTCTAAAGAAAAATTAAAGAAATTAGGCAGGCATGGTGGTGTGTGCCTATAGTCCCACTGAGTCAGGAGGCTGAGGTGGGAAGATTGCCTGAGCCCGAGTTCCAGGAAGCAGTGAGTTATGATCAATCACAGCCTCTACTCCAGCCTAAGTCACAGAGTAAGACTTCATGTTAAAAAAAAAAAAAGGAAGTTAATGGGGTGCAATCCTATTAACTAAATGATAGTGAGAACCATTGTCTAAGGTTATTAATGTAGTAATTATATGAATATGGTGACATTTATTCAGATTTCACCTGTTTTTATCTAACTTCTCACACCGGTCCCAAGATCCCACCTCGGACTCACCCTCTGCCTTCAGCTCATGTCTCCTCGGCTTCCTCCAGATAGTCCCGCCAAACACGCACCTGGGCTGGAGGGTAGAGCTGATTTCTCCTGGGCTCCACACCTCCGTAGCATGTTACCATACTGAGTACTGCGGGTGATGGGAACATAATGGTAGCTATTTGTGTAAACACAGAAAAGGATCCTAAAATTACAGTATAAACAATAAAAATGGTACACCTGGCCAGGTGTGGTGGTTCATGCCTATAATCCCAGCACTCTGGGAAGCCAAGTTGGGAGGATCACTTGGGCCCAGGAGTTCTAGACTAGTCTGGTCAGCATAACAAGACCCCATCTCTCCCTTTTTTTTTTTTCCTGAGATGGTCCTGCTCTGTCGCCCGGGCTGAAGTGCAGTCATGGGATCTCAGCTCACTGCAACCTCTTCCCCCCAGATTCAAGCAATTCTTCTGCCTCAGCCTCTGGAGTAGCTAGGACTATAGGTGCATGTCACCATGCCAGGTTAATTTTTGTATTTTTAGCGGAGACGGGTTTCACCGTGTTAGCCAGGATGGTCTCGATCTCCTGACCTCATGATCTGCCCTCCTCAGCCTCCCAAAGTGCTGGGATTACAGGCTTGAGCCACTGCACTCTGCCATCCCATCTCTTGTTAAATATCAGTTTTTAGAGATTGTACAGCTGTATAGCACAGCTCCATTATAACCTTATGGGACCACCATCCTATATGTATTCTGGTATGGACTGAAATGTTGTTATCTGACAGGTGATTGCATAAGTAATCTAGAGATGATTTAAAGTATATAAGAAGATGTACTAGGGTTATATACAAATACTGCACCATTTTATATCAGGACTTGAGCATCTGTGGATTTTGATATCTGTGGAAGATGGTGAAATTGATTCCCCACATACTTTGATTGACAAGTGTATACATTTCAGGTCCCACAGAAGGCTCTAATCCCTGCACCCTCAGCCCAGGTAAACTCTATTACTGAGATTAGTTTGCCTGATGATAACTTCATATAAATGGAATCACACATTATCCTTATAGGTCTAACTTCTTCGCCCACACAAGGTGTGTGAGATTCATTCACATGTGTAGGTGTATGATCGTATTCATTTTCTTTGCTGTATCGTAGTCTAGTCTTGAATGTACCATGGTTTTTTAACCATCCTTCTGTGATAGATATTTGGGAAGTTTCTAGTTTGAGGCTGTTACAAGTTATGCTGCTATAAGGATTGTTGTAGTTGTATTTTAGTGAAGATATAGACACACCTGTTAAAGTACATGTGCAGGGAGGACATTGTTAGCTCGAACGCCAAAGTTCTGGGATTACAGGCATGAGCCACCACACCTGGCCGAAATAGAATATTCTCTTATTTAGAGATGGGGGTCTCGCTTTGTTGCCCAGGCTGGAGTACAGTGGCTATTCACAGGCGCAATCCCACTACTGATCAGCACGGGAGTTTTGACCTGCTCTCTTTCTGACCTGGGCCGGTTCACCCCTCCTTAGGCAACCTGGTGGTCCCCCGCTCCTGGGAGGTCACCATATTGATGCCGAACTTAGTGCGGACACCCAATCAGCATAGCGCACTGCAGCCCAGAACTCCTGGGCTCAAGTGATCCTCCTACCTCAGCCTCCTGAGTAGCTGGGGCCACAGGCAAGCCACCACGCCTGTCAATAAAATATTCTTTAGTGAGGTCTGCTGGTGACCATTTTGTGTTATCTTTGAAATATATTTTTCATGGGTATAAAGTTGTGGGTTGATAGTTGTTATTATTATTATTACTTTGAGACAGGGTCTCACTCTGTTTCCTATGCTGAAGTGCAGGAATGTGATCTCGGCTCACTGCAGCCTTGACCTCCCGGGGTTCAGGTGATCCTTCCACCTCAGCTTCCCCAGTAGCGGGCACATACCACCATGCCCAACTAATTTTTGTATTTTTTGTAGAGACGGGGCTTCGCTTTGTTGCCCAGGCTGGTCTCTACCTCCCGAGCTCCAGCAATCCACCCACCTTGGCCTTCCAGAGTGCTGTGCCATGCCTGGCCATTAGTTACTTTTCACAGCACATTGAAGATTTAATATCAGTCTTCTGGCTTCCATTGTAACTGTCGAAAAAATCAGCTGTTTATGTGGTACTCCTTTTTCCTTTTTTGACAGAGTCTCACTCTGTCATCCAGGTTGGAGTACAGTGGCACAATCTCAGCTCAGTGCAACCTCTGCTTCCCAGGTTCAAGTGATTCTTTTGCCTCAGCCTCCCAAGGAGCCGGGATTACAGGAGTGTGCCATCATTCCTGGCTAATTTTTGTATTTTTGGTAGAGACGAGCTTTCACCATGTTGGCCAGGTTCGTCTCAAACTCCCGTCCTCAGGTGATCTGCCCGCCTTGGCCTCCCAATGTGCTGGGATTACAGGCATGAGCCACCGCGCCTGGCCAAGTGACACTCCTTTGAAGGTAATCTGCTTCTCCCACCCCTAGAAATTTTTAATAATTTTTCCTCATTTTTATTTCCTGGAGTTTTGTTATTAATAATCTGCGTGCAGATTTCTTTCTATTTCTTTTGTTTGCAGTTCATAGTGATTCTTGAATTAATGTGTTGATTTCTGTTATCACCACAGGAAAATTGTCAGCCGTTAGCTTTTAAAATATTTCCTTGATAAATTATCTCTTCTCGTCTTTGGTTACAATTGATTAGATTAAAACCAAAACCAACCAGCCTGGCCAACATAGTGAAAACCTGTCTCTACTAAAAATACAAAAATTAGCCAGGTTGTGGTGGCATGTGCCTGTAATCCTAGCTACCCAGGGCTGAGGCAGGAAAATTGCTGGAACCAGGGAGGCAGAGGCTGCAGTGAGCTGAGACTGTGCCACGGCACTCCAGCCTGGGGGAAAGAGCAATAATCTGTCTCAGAAATAAAACAAAACCAAAAAACTAAAACCAGGGACCAGGGCCAGGCAAGGTGCCTCATGCCTGTAATCCCGACACTTTGGAAGGCCAAGGCGGGTGGATCACCTGAGGTCAGGAGTTCAAGACCAGCTTGGCCAACATCTCTATGAAAAATACAAAAATGAGCCGGGCATGGTGGCCCACATCTGTAGTCTCAGCTATTCAGGAGGCTGAGGGAGGAGAATTGCTTGAACCCAGGAGGTGGAGGTTGCAGTGAGCAGAGATCGCACCACTGCACTCCAGCCTGAGCAACAGAGTGAGATGAGACTCTGTCTCAAAAAAAAAGGCTATGAATGCTTGATGAACTACATTTGTTAGAATATTTGTTGTAGAATACTATTCATTGATTTGTAAACAATGTTAGATTAATTTCATTCACTGGATTTCTGATAATTAACTTACTGATTTTATCACACTGATTTGTTATAATTAATACAATTGATATAAAAAAATTGATGATTCCCTTAAAATTAGGAGCATAATTCAAGAAACTTCTGATAAAAATTTCTTTTTCATTTTTTGTTTTTTTCTTGAAAAGGAGTCTTGCTCTCTTCCCCAGGCTGGAGTGCAATGATGTGATCTCGGCTCACTGCAACCTCCGTCTCCTGGGTTCAAGCAATTCTCCTGTCTCAGCCTCGGAGTAGCTGGGATTACAGGAGTGGGCCACCATGCCAGGCTAACTTTTTGTATTTTTAGTACAGATGGATTTCACTATGTTGGCCAGGCTGGGCTCGAACTCCTGACCTGGTGATCTGTCCTCCTCGGCTTCCCCAAGTGCTGGGATAACAGGCGCAAGCCACCGTGCCCGGCCAATTTATTTTATCTTCCATGTAAACTAAAATGACTCTATCAAGTTAATTCAGAAATACAATGCAGGGTATTAGTTTGGCACAGCTGGGTATTCAAGCTAATGTAATATTCTTGTTATTTTTTAATTCTTGTTTTGACTTTACTTATACGTGGATCATCAGATTTCAAAAGATTACATGATGATACTCTTAGCAGCAAGCTTCCCTAATATATAAACACTCTAATGGGTGGTGATTCAGAAGGCACCCGAAGCATCTGTACTGCCAGATGTCATTCATCCCTTTATACTTGCCCAACAGCTATCCCATTCTCGGACACTGGATAAATGGGTGGGTGGAGAGAAAGACAGGAGAAAGTGGTATAAACAAATGGATTTGGAGTCTGATTGACAGTGATTGAAACCCTGTCTCTACCTCTTCCCAGCCTTATGAACCTGCATAAGTTACCGGGAGCCTTAGGCCACATCTGTAAATTGAGGGTTGTGATGGCAGCCATCTCACAGGGTCTCTTTTCGGGGAAGGGCAAGAGTGATGAATTAAGTGAGAGTAATTGTAAAGCACTTAATTCAAAGAGGGCACGTAATAAGTACTTCATAAATATTGACCGCCATTATGACGAGGTGTCTGCAGCTGTTGGGGGGATAAGGCGACTTCAGAATTTCTGGTAGGCGGGGCAAAGGCTGCAATCACACTGGAAGTCGAGATGAGACACTGCTTCTGCACTGACTCTGCTTAGCTGGAGAGAATGAGGAAAGAGGAACTTAGAGTCCTCCTCCCCCAACTCTGTCAGATCTGCTCCCTTGTCAGACACATTCAGGGGATTTCTCGCACTGTTCCCTCCCCTGACTCCCTCCCGCCCCATCCAACTAAACACACAAGAAATAGAAAAGCCCCAGCGAGGGACTGCACGCTAGAAGGAAACGAGAGAAGGGCGTTGCACTTTCTTGCTTAAGTGTAGACACCCTGTACTTGGGCCCCTGGTAGACGGCCACGTGTTTCATCAGCCTGCAGAGAAACCCCACGGAGACCGCGCCCGGGTCCTCGGCTTCAGCCAATCTCCCATTGGTGGGGGTGGGATGCACGATCCAGGGTTTTGTTGGCTACAGACAGCGGGGTGTGGTCCGCCCAGAACACAGATTGGCTTCCGAGGGCATCTCAGATCCCCGGGTGGGCGACGCGCACAGTCTCCTCGTGCAGGCCCAGTCAAGGCCGGGGGCGGGGGCGGGGGCGGGGGGCGGCGGGGGAAGCGGCCAGACCTCCTCCAAGCGGCACCAGCTCACTCTGGGCGTCCGGAGCCGCTGCCAGTGCTGCTTCTGCCCAGCGCTCCAGACTCCCTCTCCTTACCCGGAGAGAGGCTTGACCTTGAAATCCAGGCTTCACCCCTAGTTAGCGTGTGACCTTGGGCAGCTGACTTTATTTTTTCAGTGCCTAGTTTTCCAGGTACCAGGACTGACTCAAGGACTATTACTCATCTGGAGGGTATAGCGCAGTGCTCTGAAACGAAATAGGCAAATCTTTTTTTTTTTTTTTTTGATAAATCTTCCTCTGTTGCCCAGGCTGGAGTACAGTGGCGCGATCTCGGCTCACTGCAACCTCGGCCTCCGGTGTTCAAGAGATTCTCCTGCCTCAGTCTTCTGAATAGGTGGGATTACAGGCGCGCGCCATGACGCCCAGCTAATTTTTGTAGTCTTCGTAGAGACAGGGTTTTGCCATCTTGGCCAGGCTGGTCTAACTCCTGCCTCAGGTGATCTGCACGCCTCTGCCTCCCAAAGTGCTAGGATTACAGGCGTGAACCACCGCGCCCGGTCAGAAAGGAAGTAGGCAAATCTTTTAACCTCCTCCAATAATACAGTGAAAAGACCATATCATTATTAAAGGAGGCTAAGGGATTTGCCTATTTCGGGTTCTTGGACTGACTGAACAATCTTGGGCAAGTTGCCTCTGATGGGCCTGTTTCCCCATCTGTCACGTGATAAACTTCATTGGTTTAAAAACTCCAGCAAACCTTTATTGAGTTACTATTACCTTCCTGCCCTCCCTAACCCCAACCCCAGGGAGCAGTTAGACTATCACTCAGCTGCTGAGCGCACTCGCGGGGTATAAGGAGCACCAAAGACAGGGAGGCTCGATTCATTTTGCTTTGGGAGTAGAGGGAGCGTCAGAAGATTCCAAGGAAAATGGCATTTGAGCAATAATGATTCACTGGAGCTTGCTTTTAAATACTGGCGAGTTTTTAGGTTGCAGCTCCTTACAAAGCTGAGCATTCGCAGGGATTGTACTCCGCAATAAGTCTGCTTCCCCTTTTCATTCGCGAGGTCACCGTGACCGAGGGAGCTGCTGGTTCCGCATGCAGTAGGTTGTGCCTTTTCCCAATCAGGGTTCTGCGTGGAACCTGCGGGCCGCGGTGGGCTGCTGCAGGGGCTGGCGTGCAGGGTGAAAGCTGCTCGTGCCGGCCAGCGCCTGTGAGCAAATCTCGAACGGAGGAGCAGGAGGGGTCGAGCCCTAGCGTGGCAGGGTTGGCCCTGCCTTTTAGGAGGGCACACTCTGAAGGGTGCCCAGGGGCCGGACGCCCGGGACCTAAAGCCCGCGCCGTTCCAGCTGCAGGGAGGGCTCTCGCTCGAGGCGGGTTGGTTTTGCAGAGACTGGGTCTGCAGCGCTCCACCAAGAGCCGGCGACCCACACCACGAAGCAACTGCAGAAACCGTGACTCGCTCCAGGAACCCCGGTGCCCGGGCTAGAGGCGCGGGTCGTACGCGCGTAGCGTCACGTGGGCGATGCGGGCGCACGCCCCTGCACCTGCGGGAGGGGATGGGGGAAAGGGGCGGAGCCGGCGCTTGACCTCCCGTGAAGCCTAGCGCCGGGAAGGACCGGAACTCCGGCGGGCGGCTTCTTGGTAATATGGCGGCTGGAGCTGCCTGGGCATCCCGAGGAGGCTGTGGGGCCAACTCCCGGAAGAAGTGTCTCTTTTCGCGCTAGTGCTGCGGCCCCTCTGGACCCGGAAGTCCGGGCCGGTTGCTGAATGAGGGGAGCCGGGGCCTCCCCGCGCCAGTCCCCCCGCACCCTCCGCCCCGACCCGGGCCCCGCCATGTCCTTCTTCCGGCGGAAAGGTAGCTGAGGGGGCGCCGGCGGGGAGTCAGGCCGGGCATCAGGGGTGGCGGTGGGGCAGGTGGGCCTGCGAGGGCTTCCTTCAGGGCTGCAGCAAGGCCTTCAGCGAGCGTCGGCCTCCGCGCAGACGCCTCCTGAGTGTCTTGCTCTGCTCCGGGACTCTTCTGGGAGGGAGAAGGTGGCCTTCTTGCGCGAGGTCAGAGAATTGTCGCGCCGGTTCACAAGCGATTGCTGAAACCCACAGAAGTTCATGCGTATATGCTTAAGAACAGTTCTTAGGGGGGTTTTAGTTTTTTTGTGTTTCTTTCCGCACTGTGGATCAAGATCAAGAAAATCTAGTGCCTTATTTTGGAAGTCTGAGTTTTCCAAATATTGAGGGTTTTATGTGTAAAAGCAACACGTGAAAAAATAATTTTCTTCAACCAGTGCTGTCTTCCAGTTTCCTCTTTGGGGGGAAGGGTAGTTACTGCGGTTCCTAAAATAAAATTACTTATTGCTAAAGTTCCCCAACAGGAAGACCACTACTTTTGATGACTTCGCAAGTTTACTAACTACTGGAACCGTAACTTTATAAACGAACTACTTATATTTTTGATTTTCAGTTGTATTACCTGCCCCATATTTAGGTAGAAGCAGCTTGATTTGAATTCTGAGTAAGGTTGTTGCACTTAGTTAAAAATACATATTTGAAGTGAGCAAGTGTGGGTCTGTGGACAGTAGTGATTTTTCCTGTCAATTCTTGTTGCTTCAGATGAAATGTACCAGACAGAAATGGGTTTGTTTCGTTTTGAGATGGAGTTTCGCTCTTGTCTCCCAGGCTGGAGTGCAGTGGTGCTATCTTGGGTTCAGTCGATTCTCCTGCCTCAGCCTCCCACGTTGCTGGGATTACAAGCATGCCCCACCATGCCTGGCTAATTTTTGTATTTTCAGTAGAAACGGGATTGCATCATGTTGGTCAGGCTGGTCTTGAACCCCTGATCCTTACCTCAAGTGATCCGCCCGCCTCGTCCTCCCAAAGTGCTAGGAATACAGGTGTGAGCCACCACAGCCAGCCAGAAATGGGTTGTGGAAAAAGCAGTAAACAAAATCAGGAACTTGGATTCATATGACAGCTCTGCTATTAACTGTAATGGGGGACAGACCAGTTAACCTACTCTTCTGTCTTCTGTGAGCTGAGTATTAGATATCTGATTCCCAAAGGCCTGTTGAACTCCGAATGACTTTAAATACCTCTTGAGTAGGTACAGGGTTTTGGTAACTGATGCTAGGTGCTGAATAAATGAAAGTGCTGAATGAATGAAGCCGGTAAAATAGGAGGAAGCCTGATTGGTAAGGCAGGGGTATACTTAATAGCTCTCTAGTTTATTGTTACTGAAGTGGTTAACTTTTGTTTTTTTTTTAAGGAAGGAAAAAGCATTCTAAGAATAACGAGGCAGATTGCATGTTGCACAAGAGACTGTTGTCTGTATTCAACAATATCTTTTGAGTGTCCACAGTCTGCCAGGCGCTATGCTAGGCCCTCACTGTTGGGTAGTGAACAAGACAATGTCCCTGCACCCACGGAGCTTATTGTCTGCTTGGATAAACAGACAATAAAGCAAACAAATCTCTCTTCTCCCTCCTGCTCCATGTAAGTGTGTGTGTATAGGTGTGTATTTACAAATGGAGTAAACTGTTAATGAAAGATTGAAGAGGAGAAACGCATTTTGGTTAAGTGTTAGATAGAGACCTCAGCAGGTGACCTTGAAACTTAGAGCTGAAGGATCAGTAGGACGTAACTAGAGAGGCCAGTGAATAGCATGTTCAAAGGTCAGGTGGCAAGAAAGAGCATGGTGCCCTTCAAGAGGAAAGAAGACTGCTGTGACTGGAGCATAGATGCAGGCAAGTATCAGGTGATTGAGAGCTCTATAGGCCATGGTTAGGTTTTATTCCTGATGCCAAGATGACAAGCGTGGTGGCCCATGCCTGTAATCTCAGTACTTTAGGAGTCCGAGGCAGGAGGATGGCTTGAGCCCTGGAATTAGGACCAGCCTGAGCAACATGAGATCTGTACAAAATGTTAAGAAATTAGCTAGGTATGGTGGTGCACACCTGTGGTCCCAAGCTGCTCAGGAAGCTGAGGTGGAAGGATCACTTGAGCCTCGGAGGTGGAGGCTACAAAGAGCCATGTTTGAGTCACTACACTCCAGCTTGGATGACAAAGTGAGACCCTGTCTCAAAACAAAATACAGAGAGAATATTAATTTAAAGTTTTGAAAGAGGAGTGATCTCAACTTATATCTTAAAAAAGATCATTCTAGGTCAAGGTGGCCCACCGTTGTAATCAAGCACTGTGGGAGGCTGAGACAGGAGGATCACCTGAGGCCAGTTCAAGATCAACCTGCACAGCATAAAGAGACTCCATCTCTACAAAAAGAATAAAAAAAAAAAAAAGCTGGGTGTTGTGAGCTATTCAGGAGGCTGAAGCAGAAAGATCACTTGAGCCCAGGAGTTTGAGGATGCAGTAAGCTATGATCCCACCACTGCAACACAGTGAGACCCTGTCTCAAAAAAAAAAGAAAAAAAAAAATCATTGTAGATGCTTTTTGGAGGCTGGATGTGGCAAGAGTAGAAGCTGGGGATGGTCCTATTCGGGATTCGATTCAGGCTTTAAATACAACCAATGCGTTGATGGTTCCCACTTTTAATCTTTACCTTGGATCCTTGCCCTGGAATCCAGACTGGTGGATCCAACTTTAGGTCCACTTTATATCTCTACCTGACTTTATATCTCTACCTACAGTTAACACCTCTAATACAGGGGTATCCAATCTTTTGGTTTCCCTGGGCCACCTTGGAAGCAGAATTTTCTTGGGCCACACATAAAATACACTAACGCCAACAATAGCTGATGAGCTTTTAAAAAAAAAAAAAAAAGGCCAGGCACAGTGGCTCACACCTGTAATCCCAGCACTTTGGGAGGCCAAGGCAGGCGGATCACGAGGTCAAGAGATTGAGACCATCCTGGCCAACATGGTGAAACCCCATCTCTACTAAAAAATACAAAAATTAGCTGGGTGTGGTAGCATGCACCTGTAGTTCCAGCTACTAGGGAGGCTGAGGCAGGAGAATTGCTTGAACCCAGGAGGAGGAGATTGTAGTGAGCCAAGATTGTGCCACTATGCTCCAGCCTGGTGCCTGGCAACAGAGCAAGACTCGGTCTCAAAAAAAAAGTCACAAAAACTTGTAACGTTTCAAGAAAGTTTACAAATTTGTGTTGGGCGCCTTTAAAGCCATCGTGGGCTGTGTGCACAACTTGATCCAATAGATACCTTCAACTTACGATACCTAAAATTTTATGCCAGATTTAGTACTTTTAAACATGTTCACCAGTTTTTCTCATTTCAATAAGTAGCGTTTTTGGATTTTTTCTGAGGCTTTTTTTTTTTCTTGGAGAGTTTAGCTTTTACTGCCCAGGCTGGAGTGCAGTGGCGTGATCTCAGCTCACTGCAACCTCTGCCTCCCAGGCCAAGCGATTCTTCTGCCTCCGCCTTCCGAGTAGCTGGGATTACAGGCATGTGCCACCACACCTGGCCAATTTTTTGTACTTTTAATAGAGACAGGGTTTCATCATGTTGGTCAAGCTGGTTTTGAACTCCTGGCCTCAGATGGTCCGCCTGCCTCAGCCTCCCAAAGTTCTGGGATTACAGGCATGAGCCACTGCACCCACCCGCATTTTTGGCTTTTTAATTGCTCAGGCCAAAACTTTAGTACATCCTCGAACCTCTCCTCCTACTCTATATCTGACCCATCCGAAAATCTGTTTAGGTCTACCTCGGACATATCCAAATCCAATCACTTCTCACCATCTGACAATTAACACCCTGGTCTATCTAGGCAGTCATCTCTGTTAAGATTGAGCGGTTAAGGAAGTCCTCTAAGGAGATGACATTCAAATCTCAGCTTAAATGTCAAGAGGGAGCTGATTTTATAAAGATTGAGGAGACCACATTATTTTGCTGCCGGCTTCCATTTGGTTTCCCTTCCATTCTTGATACTTATGGTATATATTTCAAAACAAATTAACACAAACAGACCCAGGTATATATGCGATATAGAAAGAATTCCTAGTTAGTTGGGAAAGGGTAGACTAATTTATAAATGATGCTGGTTATCCATCGCCTGGCAAAAAATAATTTCCTTCCTCCTCTTTTACATATCAGATCAACAGACTTTTTCTCTTAGGGGCCAAATAGTAAACATTTTAGGCTTTGCGGACCATATGCTTTTTGACACATTCTCCTCTATCCTTGAAGCTATAAACAATACGTAAGCAAATGGGCATGGCTGTGCTACAATAAAACTTTACTTACAAAAGCTGGGAATGGTCCAGTTTAGGCATGGTGGCTGATGCCTATAATCCCAGCACTTTGGGAGGGTGAGGTGGACGGATCACTTGACTTAAGGAGTTTGAGATAAGCTTGGCCAACATGCTGAAACCCTGTCTCTACTAAAAATGCAAAAATTAGCTGGGCCTGGTGGCTGATACGTGCCTGTAATTTCAGCTACTCAGGAGGCTGAGGCAAGAGAATCACTTGAACCTAGGAGGCAGAGGTTGCAGTGAGCAACAGAGACTGCGTCACTGGAGTCACTGGCTGGAGTACAGTGGCACGATTTGGCTCACTGCAACCTCTGCCTTCTGGGTTCAAGCAATTCTCATGTCTTAGCCTCCTGAGTAGCTGAAATTACAGGCATATGCCACCAGGCCTGGCTCATTTTTGCAGTTTTAGTAGAGACTGGGTTTTGCCATATTGGTCAGGCTGGTCTTGATTGAACTCCTGACCTCAGGTGATCTCCCTCCCAAAGTGCTGGGATTACAGGAGTGAGCCAAGGCACCCTGTCCCCGCAAAAAAGCACAAAATTTGTTACCTAGGAATTCAATTTTTAGAGATTTATCCTAAAGAAATTCTTGCTTATATGCATAGGAAGACGTGTACTAGAGTGTTCATTGGTTGAATGTGTAACCGAAAATTAGGAAATACAGTAAATGTTCATTAACAAGGAAATGGGTAAATGTATATTTGTAAAGACATTAAGTAGCTAAAATGAATAAACTGGAGTTGCATGAATGAACTAGAACTGCATCAGTAGAGTATTTTATGAATACAGGTCAGATATGTATAGAGTGCCATTGGTGTAAAAAAAAAAAATTTTTTTTTTTTTTTTTTTTTTTTTTTTTTTGAGACAGTCTCACTCTTGCCCAGGCTGTAGTGCAGTGGCACAATCTTGGCTCACCGCAGTTTCTAGGTCCTGGGTTAAAGCAATTCTCTTGCCTCAGCCTCCCGAGTAGCTGTGATTACAGGAATGTGCCACCATGTGTGGCTCGTTTTTGTATTTTTAGTGGACACGGGGTTTCACCATTGTTGGTCAGGCTGGTCTTGAACTGCTGACCTCAAGTGATCCACCCAACTTGGCCTCCCAAAGTGGTAGTGTTACAGGTGTGAGCCACCATGCTTGGCCATTTGTGTAATTTTTAAAGATGTACAGAATAATACCATTTAAAAATATATGTAATGTTTGGCTGGGTGTGGTGGCTCACACCTGTAATCCCAGCACTTTGGGAGGCTGAGGTAGGAGGATCACTTGAGCCCAGCAGTACAAGACTAGCCTAGGCAAGATAGCAAGACCCCATCTCAACAACAGAAAGCATAATTAGGCATGGTGGCATGAGAGAATCAATTGAGCCCAGGAGTTCAAGTATTATCAGGCCACTGCACTTTAGCCTGGGCAACAGAGCAAGACCCTGTCTCAAAAAAATAAAAATTAAAGAAGATTATATTTGTATGTGGTAATAGTCAGAAAACTACATGGAAGGAAAGCATCTAATTTATTATTTTTTTGAGACAGTCTCAGTCTGTCGCCCAGGCTGGGGTACATTGGTATGATCTTGACTCACTGCAACCTCTGCCTCCTGGGTTCAATTAATTCTCTTGCCTCAGCCTCCTAAGTAGCTGGGATTACAGGCGTGTACCACGCCACCCAGCTAATTTTTTGTATTTTTAGTAGAGACAGGGTTTCACTATGTAGGCCAGGCTGGTCTCCAACTCCTGACCTCAAGTGATCCTCCCACCTTTGCCTCCCAAAGTCCTGGGATTACAGGCATGAGGCACTTTGCCCAGCCAGAAAATACCTAATTTAGTATAGTATTTGTATCTGGGAAATGAGGGGTCAAGTGGTGATTCATAGAACTTTGAGCTCTATGTATAATACTTAGGGGGACAAAAGGAAAAACAGCAAAATGTTGATACTTGATTGTTGGGTGGTATATACTTTTATGTTAGTATAACATAGGAGATCTGATTGATAGTAGGAGAATGTTTTTAGGGTGGTAAAAGTGGAACTGTGGTGTTGTATTTTGACAGTAGAATCAGTTGGTCATAGTTTGCATGTGGAAGGTAATAAACAGACCATATGAAGGATGACTTCCAGAATTTTGGTCTGGGTAGTGGGTGGATGACAGTGTCATTCGTGAGAGAAGATGAAGACTGAGTAGGAACAGGTTTGGGAAAAGATGACATGTTCCATTTTAGACAAGTGGAATTATGGAAGATGGCAGGTATGGGTCAGCTATATGAATTTGAGATAAAAGATTTAGGATAGAGATAGAAATTTAGGACTAACAGCATATCTCTGGTATTGTAAGCCTTAAGAATGGGTAGATCAGCCAGTAAATACATGTGTATATGCAGAAGAGAGGAGTCGAGGAAGCCAAGACAAGTTAATGTTTCAAGTGAGAGATTTAGTCCATGCTGAGAGGACTGCAAACACCAGTAACCTACAACATTTTTAAACATTGTCTTCCCGACAGCTGTGATCAGTACCTGCAGTGATCTTATTTATTTTCACATTGTCCACACACTTAAATGTAAATTGCTTTTCTGAAGGCAAAAGCACTGCCTTTTCTGAGCTGGGAGCCTGGCTGGCACATACCAAGTACTCAACTGTTGATGGATTGACTTCACCCAGATACCCTGAGGGCAAGTTATTTCCTGCTACTGGCCTCTCACCTTTTAATGTTTAAGAGCACAAATAGAGAGATGGGCACATTTTGGCATTTCTTATTTTGATAACCTTTTCATGGTAAGATTTTTTAAAGTTTAATGTTGAAAAAAATCACAAGAAAAGGTTAAAAATAGTCTTATGTCAGAGCCTGTAATAGAATTCACACTTGGCTTAAGCTGCTGGGCAGCTTCCTTTCTTGGATGTCATATTAGCTTATCTACAGCAGAGTTTTTCCTGTTTTGTGTAATAAAGGAGCAATTATATGATTATTTTATAGACAAATTGTTATACTTTGAGTGTTAGAAGTTTAGAATGTTTGTACTTGATGGTATGGGAAGAATAAGATGTGATACACAACCAAAGAACTTTCTTCACTATGCTTCTAGTAGCCAGTACTGTGGAAGATAATGTTGGTTAACATTTGTCCTAAATTTACTGTGCTAGTTACTCTTAGTCCCTTACAGGTAATTTTTTTTTTTAAATCAACAACCCTCCAAGGTCATTTTTATTGTTGACCTAATTTTATAAATCAAGGAAATTAAGAGCCAGAGAAGTAAAGTAACTTGTCAAGATCACATGGCTTATAAGTGGTAGAGCCAAAATTTGGCCCAGGTGTTGTGACTACATTGTCTCTCCATAAGCAGGTTCAGCTCTTTTGACTGGATGCTGTTCCACGGTCACTTCGTTAGAGAAGCCTTTGCTGACAGCTGCCCTCCTGTGCCCTCCTCCAAGGCTGTCCATTGTTCTAGAACTTTGAATACTCATCTTAGGATAAAGCTGGTCTAATTTTTACAGTGTTATAGAAGGGATCTCTGACTGCAAAAGTTGGTCACAGTGATCTTTTTTATTCCAGTGAAAGGCAAAGAACAAGAGAAGACCTCAGATGTCAAGTCTATTAAAGGTAAGTTCTGCCACCGGCAATCCACTGATTTCAAAAGTGATGTGCTTTGCGTTTGTGGGCTCTTTAACCCTGTGATCTTCTCTTTTTTGGCATTAATCATTTCTGCCTTATTTTATAATTATGATTTTGATTTATTTCCCTCTTTAACCTGTATCTGCTTTAGCACCTAGCATATAAAAAGTAAGCTTTTACTTTACTTTCATTTTTTTTTTTTTTGAAATGGAGTCTCGCTCTTATCACCCAGGCTGGAGTGCAGTGGCATCATCTTGGCTCATTGCAACCTCCACCTCCCTGATTCTGGCAATTGTCCTGCTTCAGCCTCCTGAGCAGCTGGGATTACAGGTGCCTGCCACCACGCCCAGCTAATTTTTGTATTTTTGGTAGAGACGGGGTTCACCAGGCCAGTGTTGAACTCCTGATCTCAAGTGATCCACCCATCTCAGCCTCCCAAAAGTACTGGGATTACAGGCGTGAGCCACCAAGCCTAGCCATAAGTAGCTTTATTTATTTATTTATTTATTTTTGGGACAGAGTCTTACTCTATTGCCCAGGCTGGAGTGCAGTGGCATGATCTCTGGCTCACCGCAACCTCTGCCTCTTGGGTTCAAGCATTCTCTTGCCTCAGCCTCCCAAGTAGCTGGGACTGCAGGCATGTGCCACCACACCCAGCTACTTTTTTTTTTTTTTTTTTTGGTTGTGTTGGGGTTTCACCATGTTAGCCAGGATGGTCTCAATCTCCTGACCTCGTGATCCACCTGCCTCGGACTCCCAAAGTGCTGGAATTACAGGCGTGAGCCACCAGGCCCGGCCATAAGTTGAGCCTTGTGTGTGTTGGCTGGATCCTAGTGACTTCTTATTAATCACACCTTTAGTTATTCCCTAAAAGTGATTAGTTGACTTTGTTTAGTAAGACAAAAAAATGAAGATTACTCTTAACTGAGCAGTTTGTTAACTACAGGAAAGCACTGACACTTACAAGGCTTAGTTTTCTGTCATTTATACAGAAGTATGGTTGATTAGTTTTTGCTTTTTTATTTGAATGAATGACCTTAATTTAAAATATATTCACTTTGTTTATTTTTTGTTGGAATCAAGACATTATCCTCGTTTATAGATTAGAGCATACTTTATAAAGATGCTGTATTATTGACTGATTTTATTATGTCCAGTGTAAAGAGATTGAAATGGGAAAATTATAATAGAAATTGTTTCCATAGTCATTACATATTAATTTCATTTATTTGTTTACATAAAATGTGTAGACTGCTACTTATTTAGATTTTTCTTTCAAATGTTTTTATGTGGTCTTGCTCAAATTGAGTATTCTATATGCTCAATTTGCTGGAGAAAGAGACTAATTATAGCTTAGGAAAGTGGTAAAATTAGGGAAAAAAATAGGGTAACTTATAGCCTAGTTTACTTTTTCCTTATCATTTAAAGCCAGTTGGATTCCACATTAGTTCAAATTCCTTCTTTGAGCAAAATTTGATTGGCATTGATAAGGCTTAAAGCCCTTCTCAAGCCGATTCTTTTTTTGTTGAATGGCAGGATTGGCCTAGCGAATTTCTTTCCTTTTTTTTTTTGAGGTGGAGCTTCGCTCTTGTTACCGAGGCTGGAGTGCAGTGACGCAATCTCGGCTCACCACAACCTCCCCCTCCCAGGTTCAAGCGATTTCTCCTATCTCAGCCTCCCAAGTAGCTGGGATTGCAGGTGCACACCACCACGCCTAGCTAATTTTGTATTTTTGGTAGAGACAGGGTTTCTCCATGTTGGTCAGGCTGGTCTCGAACTCCTGACCTCAGGTGATTCAGCCTCGTCAGCCTCCCAAAGTGCTGGGATTACAGGCATGAACCACCGTGCCCAGCTGGCCTAGCTAATTTCTAAATCTCTACCAGGCTAAAAAATTCTATGCTTACATTCTAATTATGACAGTACATAATCTTGCTTAACATTCACTGACTTAACCTTAGTATAATACAGAAGCAGTACAAGAAACAGCCCTCAAGATGTTTGCATTCTGGTTAGAAAGACAAATTTATGGCCACGCTCTGTGTGGCTTACGCCTGTAATCCGAGCACTTTGAGAGGCCTGGACAGCACATCACCTGAGGGCAGAAGTTCAAGACCAGCCTGGCCAACATGATGAAAACCTGTCTCTACTAAAAATACAAAAAAATTAGCCTGGTATAATGGTGGGTGCCTGTAATCCCAGCTACTTGGGAGGCTGAGGCGTGAGAATTGCTTGAGCCCAGGAGACGGAGTTTGCAGTGAGCTGAGATTGCACTACTACACTCCAGCCTGGGTCACAGAGTGAGTCTCCATCTCAAAGAGAAAAAAAAAAAGACAAAACTTATACACAGAACAGTGGCGAATAAACCAAAATAATACTAGCTGCCATTTATAGAACACCTGTTCTGGGCGTTAGACAAAAACTGACTATAACAGTGAACAAGAAAGACTTAGGGCCGGCCCTCATTGGACTTACAGATTAGTGAGGAAGAAGGAACATTAGTCAAAATAATTCCACAGATAGCTTGGGCCAGATTGGTAGTTATGGAAATAAAGAGATCTGAATGGACTTGAAAAAACATCAGGAGGCAAAATGGATAGAAGTTTGTTATTGATTAAATATGAGGTATAAGAGAGAGGGATATTTGAGGTTGATTCCTACCTTCTGGCTTGCCTAACAGAACCATGCCAGGAAATTATATGTTCGGTTTTGGAATGTTGGGTGGTTTGAGTCATTTATTTACTTATGTTATTTTATATGCACAGTAATTTTGGGGTCTGAGTTTTAAACCAAAGGTTAGGGAGTGATTTTTTTAGAGGCTAGCAAACCTAGGTTGAAATTCTGCCTGTTGAAATGGCTCTTTACTAGCTCATTAACCTAAGGCAAAGTATTCAACTTGTTTTCATTTTTGTCTTCATCTCTAAAAAGGAAAATTTGGTCTTACAAAATTGTCCCGAGAGATAGATGAAATAATATCCCCCAAAAAAGGTACATAGAGAAACTAGTATAGTTAGCCCTCCATTGGTAGCTGTCATTATCTAGTTTTAACATACTCAGCCTTCAGTATGTTGAATTAGTCAAATTAAGTGAGGCATTGCAAGGAGTTCAGAGGAATTTGAGATCAGCAAATGATTTCTGAAGTTTAGGGAAGACTTCATGGAAATGACACTTAACCTTGCATAAAGTTGAAGAATAAGAAAGATCTGAATGAGAGAGTCTGTCTGTTTTCTTCCTACCAGCCCAGCTTCTTATTTGAGGATATATTGGGCAGAGGGGCTTTCAGACAAGTAAAGGGAGATTTTTACAGAAAGACTGAGATGAAGTTATAGAGAGCTGTAAAGACCAGAAAAAAGAATTGAGACAGAGGAAGCAGGAAGCCACTTCCTGTAGGTTTTTGGGCAAGATAGTGATGCTCTAAGTATGGGGTTTATGAAAGGTTAGTCAGGAAGAGATTTGCAGGATGGATACCCCAGAAGGTTTTTTGTTATAATGCAGAAAGACTTGCACTGAGGGCATGGTGTTAAAAATAAACAGGTAAGTAAATGTTTAAATATCTTGAAGGGAAAGTCAACAAATCTTGGCAAATAAACAGATACAATAAAAAAGAATGGGACCACGATTGTGAGTTTTGGAGACTGGTGGATTGAACAGACAGGGAAATGGAGAAGGAGAAACAGATGATGATGTTTTAGGTTGATATTTAAGACAGATTGTGCTTGAGATAGTAAGGTTACCATTGGTGGGAATGTCTAGTAGTGAGTAATCAGTGATATGAGATACAAGATCAAAGCTCAGGTCAAAGACAAGTTACACATACAGGTCAGGGACGTTTCATCTGCTCCACAGAGGTGTGCCCCGGGAGCTATTGCGGAGTCCACGTGGAGGGAATGAGTAAGACCGTTTCCTTGAATTTGCCAGAATAACTTGTTTGTTTTTTTTTCCCTCTGAGACGGAGTCTCTCTCTTGCCCAGGCTGAAGGGCAGTGGCACAATCTCAGCTCACTGCAACCTCTTCCTCCTGGGTTCAAGTGATTCTCCTGCCTCAGCCTCCCAAGTAGCTAGGATTACTGGTGACCGCCACCACGCCCAGCTAATTTTTGGTATTTCTAGTAGAGATGGGGTTTCACCATGTTGGCCAGGCCAGTCTCGAACTATGGACCTCTTGATCTGCCCTCCTCAGCCTCCCAAAGTGCTGGGATTACAGGGATGAGCCACCACACCTGGCCCCTTGTTAAGTTTATTTTGGGAGGGGAAGCAAAGGAAGTTACAGCTTAAAAAAAGTTTGATAACTATTGCTCTAGTAGTAATTAAAGATTTGAGAGTAAATATGCTTTCCAGCAGAAAGAATAAAAGAAGAATAAATAGCCTCAAGAAGAAGAAGAGTAAAGGAAGTAAGCCATATCTAACACAGTGTATTGATAAATGGGGACAAAAAGAATCGAGGAATGAGCAGATAGAAGAGGAAATTAGGAGTGTAGTACTATGGAGAGCAAGGAAGATAGACTGTCAGGAAGGAGTGGTAAAAATAAGTTACTAGTTCTAACAGATGTTAAGAGGGAGCGGGGAAAATCTTGTACAAATGAGTTAATAGCATTTTACATTATATACATCTAATTAAGAAACAATGTGAGAGTCTCACCATTCCTGTAGACTCTTACTTGTCTGAACACAAAAACTAGCTTTTGTTTATAAAAAAGCTACAAGTTATTTTGCTCTTTCCAATTTCTTATGAAAATAAAAATAAAACTTCCTTTAAAATTGAAAAAATAAAGACAGTTACTCTTCCTTTTGTAATTCCTACAGCTATTATTGAATGACTGAAATTATCTTTGTTCTGAAGTCAAAAGAGTGATATTAATATTTCTTCAGACTACTAAAAATATATTTTATGAACTTGGAGTGTGTTTTATCTTTTTTTTTTTCACATAGAGTTTCACTCTTGTTGCTCAGGCTGCAGTGCAATGGCATAATCAGCTCACTGCAACCTCCGCCTCCTGGGATCAAGTGATTCTCCTGCCTCAGCCTCCAAGTAGCTGGGGATTACAGGCACCTGCCACCATGCCCGGCTAATTTTTTGTATATTTAGTAAAGACAGGGCTTCACCATGTTGGTCAGGCTAGTCTCAAACTCCTGACCTCAGGTGATCCACCTACCTCGGCCTCCCAAAGTGCTGTGATTACAGGCATGAGCCACCACTCCTGGCCTGAAGAATATTTTTATAGGTTCTCCCGCCCCAAGCATTTATTCTACAATTTTAGTTTCGTTCCTAAAGCCAGCAAGGTTTAAGGAATTAAAAAGAGTCCATATTTTAGAATGCTTTCTGGCTTTGTTAGTTGTATCCACAGTAGAAGTTTTCAGAGAAAGATCTCCCTCTTTTAACTTAAATTTTTGGCACAGTATTGTGAGAATTATTAATAATATTAGTGTTTTCTGGCCAGGTGTGGTAGCTCACACCTGTAATACTAACACTTTGGGAGGCTGAAATGAGCTGATCACTTGAGGTGAGGAGTTCGAAACCAGCCTGGCCAACATGGTGAAATGGTGTCTCTACTAAAAATACAAAAATTAGCTGAGTATGGTGGTGGATGCTTGTAATCCCAGCTACCCGGGAAGCTGAGGCAGGAGAATCACTTGAACCTGGGAGGCGGAGGTTGCAGTGAGCCAAGATCATGCCACTGTACTGCAACCGGGTGACAGAACAATACTCTGTCTGAAACAAAAAAAAAATAAAGTTTTCTTTCTAATTTTGTGCCACTTGATTGAGTTAATTTTAAGTATTTTTTGCTGAGTATGCTGACTTAAGAGAAGTATTACAAAATTTAATTTTTTAAGTTCTCTAAAAGCCCTCTAATGAGGGTTTTAGACTATCAAATTGTTTAATTCTTAACAATTTTTTGAAAAATTATAGCTTCAATAGCCGTACATTCCCCACAAAAAAGCACTAAAAATCACGCCTTGCTGGAGGCTGCAGGACCAAGTCATGTTGCAATCAATGCCATTTCTGCCAACATGGACTCCTTTTCAAGTAGCAGGACAGCCACACTTAAGAAGCAGCCAAGCCACATGGAGGCCGCTCATTTTGGTGACCTGGGTAAGTAACTATCATTTTTGTTAATTTCTAATAGAAGCATTTGAGTACAATATACAAAACTCCTGTCATAGGATACAGAACTATATAATTGGAAGGTGCTTTGGAAAAAATATATTAAAAATAACAGCTGTAAGTATAATGGGTAGCACTGTGTTGTGTTCCTGTAAATATAGAATATAAAGCATGCCCAGTAGAAAAACAAGCATTTCCAGAAGAAGAAATATGTCTGATCACTAAATATAAATATATGAAAAAGATGCCTCACTTTACTATTACTGAGGGAAGTGCAAATTAAAATAATCAGTTAATGTTCCCCTAACATATTAGAATTATTTAAAGTTTGATAATTAAATATTAGTGAAGATGTAGGGAAATACCCATCCTGTTTAGTGATAATGTAATTTGGTGAAGACTTTGGAAAACAATATGGAAGTAAGTATAAAATATGCAAACACATATATATATGTTTAAGACTATTCGTTATAGTATTGTTTGTGATGGTCAAAAATTATGGACAACATACAAATATCTGTTATGGGGAAAGAACCAAATTGTGGTATACTCATGCTGTGGAGTATAGTATAGCCATTTGTTTCCATTTATTTATTTAGTTAGTTTTTGAGACAAGGTCTTGCTCCATTGCCCAGGCTGGAGTGCAGTGGCATGATCATGGTTCACTGCAACCTTCACCTCCTGGGCGCAAGCTATGTCAAGTAACTCCCAGAGTTACTAGGGCTACAGGCATGTGCCACACACCCAGATAATTTTTAAAATTTGTGTAGAGACAGGGTCTCACTGTGTTGCCCAGGCTGGTCTCAAACTCCTGGCCTCAAATGATTCTCCCACATAGGCCAGGCTCAGTGTAGCCATTTAAAAGTCTAAAAAAGACATGGAAAAATATCTAAGGTATGTTTAAAGTGAGAAAAGCAGGTCATAGTATATATGGTAAAATCTGTTACATTAAAATAAATTCTTCCAAAACAAAAACATATGCAGGAGACCTTTATTTACTCAGTGTTTTTTACCCAAATTTCTGTACTTATAAAAATTGCATGTCATGTTGTCTTAAGTTGAAAAAAAAATCCATGAACAAATAGACTTCTAATAACTCTTTTGACATCTCTCTCTGCTTTTGTGTGTATTCAAACCAGAGTGTCAGTGTTTTTTTGGATCACGCTTAGCAATGATACATAGCAAACAAAATGCACAGAGCTCACAAAGTAAAATTTTAAGTTTTGCTAGATCACTCATAAATTGTTGATGGGAATTTAAAATAGTATAGACACTCTGGAAAATAGGCAGGTTTTTTGTTTGTTTTTGTTTCTTTTTGAGACAGGGTCTCATTTTGTCACCCAGGCTGGAATATAGTGGCATGATTACAACTACTGCAGCCTCAACCTCCTTAGGTTCAGGTGATTCCCCCACATCAGTCTCCTGAATAGCTGGGACTACCATGCCTGGCTAATTTTTGTAATTTTTTTTTGTAGAGATGGGGTTTTGCCATGTTTCCCAGGCTTGTCTCGAGCTCGACTCAAGCAATCCATTCAAATTGACCTCCCAGAGTGCTGACATTACAGTCGTGAGTTACTGTGCCCGGCCTAGGCAATTTCTTTTTTTTTTTGAGATAGAGTCTTGCAGGTTAGAGTGCAGTGGCCCAATCTTGGCTCACTGCAACCTCTGCCTCCTGAGTTGAAGCGATTTTCTTGCCTCAGCCTCCTTAGTAGCTGGGATGACAGGTGCCCACCATCATGCCTGACTAATTTTTATATTTTTAGTAGAGATGGGGTTTTGCCATGTTGGTCAGGCTGGTTTTGAACTCCTGACCTCAGGTGATCAGCCTGCCTTAGCCTCCCAAAGTTCTGGGATTACAGGTGTGAGCCACTACACCTAGCCCTTTCAGTATTATGTCTTACAACTTCATGTGAATCTAGCATCATCTCATAGAGTTTAATTAAAAGAAGTTATAGATGTTGTAGAAGATCAGAATTTCCTCAAGCTTGTGATACTGACAAAGATGAACTAGTTGACATTGACAGTAAGGCTGAGGATGATGACACACGACATGCTTCAAGAAAATGATATGAATGCCAATGAATCGAGAAAAGCTCTTTCGACAAATTGCTTAAACCCTCAATCAGTTTTATAAGAATGACCCTCTTTATGAGCATGCTATGAAAGCCAAATTCAAAAAAAATTTTTTTGTTTATCATAACAATCAGCTTGTGGTTATAATTATATCGTAAATTTAGTTAAATATAAGATCAATATTTTTTGTTCTTTGAGGCGGAGGCGGAGTTTTGCTCTTGTTGTCCAGGCTGGAATGCAATGGCTTACAGGCAACCTCTGCCTCCCAGGGTCAAGCAATCTCCTGCCTCAGCCTCCTGAGTAGCTGGGATTACAGGCATGCACCACCATACCCAGCTAATTTTTTGTATTTTTAATAGAGATGGGGTTTTTCCACGCTGGTCAGGCTAGTCTCAAACTGCTGACCTGAGGTGATCCACCTGCCTTGGCCTCCTAAAGTGCTGGGATTACAGGCGTGAGCCACTGCACCTGGCCCAGTGATTTTTTTTTTATTACCTTTAGTTTCATGTTTCAACGTAAGATTCTAATGCTACTCTTTAACCTACTTATGAATGAATAATCCTGAATTCATAACATCTTTGTAGATATATCCACAATTTTTCTTCAGGATAAGTGCCTGCAAGTGGAATTACTGGATTGAAAATCATGCAGTTTACTAAGAGTTTGCTCTCTGTTCCTGGATGCTCCTCCAGCAGTTTACGTCCTCATGACCAGGGAATGAGAATGTTACCTGTTTTCCTGTGCCCTTGTTACTGCTTATTATTTTTTGAAGAAAATCTAATTTGACAAGCAAAAATGCATTTTATGTTAATTTGCTTTTCTGGGATTTTTAATGAGGTTGAGTATAGTTTTTAATATTTTTATTGGCCCCTTTTTCTTTGAAACTAGTATCATAAGTTTTCTTTCTTAAGAATTTGCATGGTCTGAATTGTCATTAAAAGAGATATGAGAATTATTGAGTAGAAAATAACTTTTTAATAATTTAGGTAAGCTTTGGACAATTGTACTTTGTTTAGAAACCAAAAGCATAGTCTGGGCACGGTGACTCACACCTGTAATCTCAAAACTTTGGGAGGCTGAGGCAGGCAGATCACAAGGTCAGAAGTTTGAGACTAGCCTGAACAACGTGGTGAAACCCTATCTCTACTAAAAATAGAAAAATTAGCTGGGCATGTTGACGCGCACCTGTAATTCCAGCTACTCAGGAGGCTGAGGCAGGAGAATCAGTTGAACCTGGAAGGTGGAGGTTGCAGTGACCGAGATGGTGCCACTGCACTGCAGCCTGGGCAAGAGAGTGAGACTCTGTCTCGAGAGAGAGAGAGAGAGAGAGAGAGAGAGAGAGAGAGAGGGGAAGGGAGGAAGGGAAAAGAAAGAAAATAAGAAAATAAACAGAAGCCAAAAGCATAGTATTTGTAGTCTTTTTATTGATTTTAGTTGGTAGGAAGTAGACTTTATTCAAGGTCTCTGGTACCAGTTTTGCTAAAGATGATTGACTAATCTGTCAGTCTGAAATTACTTATTGCTGAAATGCCATTCTTTTGCTTCTGTCTTTTAGGCAGATCTTGTCTGAACTACCAGACTCAAGAGACCAAATCAAGCCTTTCTAAGACCCTAGAACAAGTCTTGCACGATACTGTTGTCCTCCCTTATTTCATTCAATTCATGGAACTTCGGAGAATGGAGCATTTGGTGAAATTTTGGTTAGAGGCTGAAAGTTTTCACTCAACTACTTGGTCGCGAATAAGAGCACACAGTCTAAACACAGTGAAGCAGAGCTCACTGGCTGAGCCTGTCTCTCCATCTAAAAAACACAAAACTACAGCATCTTTTTTAACTGATTCTCTTGACAAGAGATTGGAGGATTATGGCTCAGCACAGTTGTTTATGACTCATTCAGAAGGAATTGACCTGAATAATAGAACTAACTACACTCAGAATCACTTGCTACTTTCCCAGGAATGTGACAGTGCCCATTCTCTCCATCTTGAAATGGCCAGAGCTCCTGCTCATCAAGTTTCCATGGAAACCCAAGAATCTTCCTCCACACTTACAGTAGCCAGTAGAAATAGTCCCGCTTCTCCACTAAAAGAATTGTCAGGAAAACTAATGAAAAGTAAGTATGTGATTTTCTTGTGTGTGCCTGTGTGTCTCACTTTTTTTTTTTTTGAGACGGAGTTTCGCTCTTGTTACCTAGGCTGGAGTGCAATGGCGCGATCTCAGCTCACTGCAACCTCTGCCTCCTGGGTTCAGGCAATTCTCCTGCCTCAGCCTCCTGAGTAGCTGGGATTACAGGCACGTGCCACTATGCCCAGCTAATTTTTTGTGTTTTTAGTAGAGACCGGGTTTCACCATGTTGACCAGGATGGTCTCGATCTCTTGACTTCGTGATCCACCCGCCTCAGCCTCCCAAAGTGCTGGGATTACAGGCTTGAGCCACTGGGCCTGGCCTCTTTTTTTAGTTTCAAAGCAGAACTTCAGATAAGGAATGAAAGGATTGGAATTGGTTTTTTTCTCCTGTAACCATTTGTAAATTGGGGAGAATTTGGAGATTGCAGTAGAGTCAGATCAGTGAATGGAAAAGGAACAGGAGGGATATCTGGAGTCGCTGGATCTTCTAAGTGTGTCAGCAGAATTAGTAAATGAAGCAGGGTCAAATGTCCTACTCCTCCATGGATTTTGAAATCAAACCATGATTCAGATAGCCTTATTCCCTTCGTGTCTCAATATTTTATTGCACTTTGCAGGTAAAAAAAATTTTTTTTTTTTTGAGACGGAGTTTACCCAGGCTGGAGTGCAATGGCGCGATCTCGGCTCACTGCAACCTCCGCCTCCTGGGTTCAGGCAATTCTCCTGCCTCAGCCTCCTCAGTAGCTGGGATTACAGGTGTGCGCCACCGTGCCCAGCTAATTTTTTGTATTTTTAGTAGAGACGGGGTTTCACCACGTTGACCAGGATGCTCTCGATCTCTTGACGTCGTGAGCCACCCGCCTCGGCCTCCCAAAGTGCTGGGATTACAGGCGTGAGCCACCGCGCCTGGCCCAAAATTTTTTAAAATTATTATTTTATTTAGAGATGAGGTTTCACTCTGTTGGCCAGGCTGGTCTCAAACTCCTGACTTCGTGATTTGCCCACCATGGCCTCCCTAAGTGCTGAGATTACAGGTGTGAGCCACCACGCCTGACTCTAAAATTATTTTTAAAATTGCCAACAAGTGACATTTATTGCATTCTGTGCTTAGTACATATTTGGATTTTATTTATTAGTCACAGGACCTGTATGCAGGTGGTAGGCATTATTATCTTATTTTACACATGAGAAACCATGGCTTAGAAAGGTTAAGTAACTTCCTCTAGGTTGTACAGTAAATGTGGATCTAGAAGCATTTTGACAACAGCATCTGTTTTTTTTCTTCTCTATTAGTTTAGAAACTATATACTCTTACTTCTTACTTATCACCTGGGATTTTGATTAGACAGCCTTCATGTTCTTTTTCATCTTAAATGGTCTTTGTGTGTCAAAGGGCTAAGTGATTTCTTCGGATGTTTTAGTTCACTGATTCTCAGTGAACTAAAATGAGGTCTAATCTGCTACTGAATTAAGTTTTCAGCGTGTTGTTTCCTTTCTTCCTCCCTCCATTCCTCCCTCTCTCTTTCCCTCTCTCCCTCTCTCACCCAGGCTCCTGAGTAGCTGGGATTGCAGGTACCTGCCACCACACCCGGCTAATTTTTATATTTTAGTAGAGACAGGGTTTCATCATGTTGGCCAGGCTGGTCGTGGATGCCTTACTTCAAGTGATCCCCCAGTCTTGGCCTCTCAAAGTGCTGGGATTACAGGCATGAACCACCACGCCAGGCCTCATGTTATTTTCATCATACAGTTATTCTAAGCTGGGTGAAGTGGCACACACCGGTACTCCCAGCTACTCAGGAAGCTAAGGTGAGAAGATCACTTGAACCCAGGAGTTTTGAGACCAGCCTAGGCAACATAGCAAGACCCCAGCTCAAACAAACAAATTAAAAAAGTAATTAAATTTTTTATTTCTATGGTTCATTTTTTGTAGTTTCTTATTCCTTTCACCGTCTCACTTTTGATCCCATCTTTTCATTCTTTATATTTATTAAATGTAGATTTATTGTCTGATAATTCCACCATCTAAAGTTTTTGTGGATCTGATTCAGCATTTCTTTGTTTCCTCGGATTCAAATTCTTGCTGGCTTTTGAGTTTATGGTTTTTGGCTGTGAACATGTTTCTTGAACTTTTTATCTGTGGGAATTCTTTATGTACTCTGTATAAATTAGGTTATTTCAGGTGTTTTGTATTTTCTTTTGCCGTGCATCTGGGGCCTGCTTCGCTACCCTCCTAGTACCACTTAAAACTAAATTTTCGTCTTGGGTGCTCGTGCTAATCCTATATGAGTACACATTTGTACTTATTACAGCCTCTGCCTCCCAAAGTACTGGGATTAGTATGAGCCACTGCACCCAGCCACTTTTTTGTATTTTTAGTAGAAACAGGGTTTCACCGTATTGGCCAAGCTGGTCTCAAACTCCTAACCTCAAGTGATCCACCTGCTTTGGCCTCTCAAAGTGCTAGAATTACAGGTGTGAGCCTGTGCACCTGGCCAGCTTTGCCTTTTCTAGAGTGCTGTATTGGCATATATACATCTACAGTATGAAACCTTTGACATTGGCTTCTTTTACTCAGCACAATAGCTTTGAAGTTCATCCATGTTGTTAATTTTATTAATAGATGATTTTTTTTTTATTCCCAAGTATTATTCCTTTGTATGAATGTAGGACATTTGGATTGTTTTCAGTTGTTGACGATTATAAATAAAGCTGCTAACATTTGTGTACAGGTTTTTGTGTGGACCTAAGTGATTTCTGTAGGGTAAATAAACACCTAGGAGTGAGTTTGCTGGATTACATGATAAGTGTATATTTAATTATATAATACATCACCAGACTGTTTTGTAGAGTACACTAGTTTGCCTTCCTACCATTGATATATGAGAGTTTTAGTGGCTTCATTTTCTTGCCAGAACTTGATACAGCCATTTTTTTTAAGTTGTTTTTATTTTTTTAAAGCCATTCTAATAGACAGTTAGTGATATCTCATTGTCGTTTTTCTTTATTTTCCTAATGGCTAATGATGTTTTGTGGTTTTTCCTGTATATATTTGTCATCTGTACATGATTGTTCAAATCTTTCCCCATAGTTTATTGGGTTATCTGTTTTTTCATTGTTGAATTTTGACAGTTCTTTACATATGCTAGAAGTAAAAACTTTATTGGCTATATAATTTACAAATGTTTGCTCCTAGGTTGTAGCCTGACTTTGAATTCTATTAAGGTATCTTTTACAAAGCAAATGGTATCTTTTGCAAAGCAGCAGGACTTTTTTTTTTTTTTTTTTTTGGGAGATGGAGTCTTGCTCTGTTGCTCAGGCTGGAGTGCAGTTGGCTCCCTGCAACCACCACCTCCCAGGTTCAAGCGATTCTCCAGCCTCCTGAGTAGCTGGGACTACAGGCACATGCCACTATGCCTGGCTAATTTTTTGTATTTTTAGTAGAGACAGGGTTTCACCATGTTAGCTAGGTTGGTCTCAATCTCCGGACCTCGTGATCTGCCCTCCTTGTCCTCCCAAAGTGCTGGGATTACAGGCATGAGCCACCACACCTGGCCTTGGACTCCTTTTTCTATTCCATGATGTATGTGTCTATTTCTTCATTAATAGCACATGGTCTTAATTACTGTATAGTAAGTCTTAAAATTGGGTAATGCTGGCCTTATAAAATGGATTGGGAAGTTTTTAATTTTACTCTGTTTCTATTTCTAGAAGAGAGTGTGTAGATTTGTTATCACTTCTTTAGATATTTGGTAGAATTGGGAAGTGATGCCATCTGGACCTAGGGTTTTCCTTCTCGTGTGTGAGACGGAGTCTTACTCTGTCACCCAGGCTGGAGTGCATCCGTGCAATCTTGGCTTACTGCAACCTCTTCTTCCCAGGTTCACGCCATCCTCCTGCCTCAGCCTCCCAAGTAACTGGGATTAGAAGTATGTGCCACCATGCCTGAGTAATTTTTGAATTTTTATCAGAGACAGGGTTTTACCATGTTGGCCAGGGTCGTCTCGGACTTGTGACCTCAAGTGATTCACCTGCTTTGGCCTCCCAAAGTGTTATGATTATAGATGTGAGTCACCATGTCTGACTGGGGCCTGGGGTTTTCTTTTTCAGAATATTTTAAACTGAATTTTGATTCTTTAATAGATATAGGACTATTCAAGTAATCTGTTTCTTCTCGAGTGTATTTTACCTGTAGTTTCTGGCTTTTGAGCAGTTAATTTTACTGAATTGTTGAATTATGGGCATGTAATTATTTGTGGCATTTTGGGTTTGTAGTGGTATCCCTCTTTTATTCCTGGTATTTGCAATTGTGTGTTGTTTTTCTTTGTCAGATTGTATAGGAGTTTATTAGTCTTTTCAAAGAACTAGCTTTTGGTTTGATATTTCTGTTGTTTTTGTTTTCAATTTCATTGATTTTCTGCTCTTTATTATTTATTTTCTCCTGCTTTCTTTGGGTTTATTTTACCCTTTTTTTCCCCAAGTTGCTTAAAGTAGAAACTTAGATTGCTGGTTTGAGACCATTCTTTTCTAAGATAAGCATTTAATACTGTAAATTTTCTTCTAACCACTGCTTTAGCTGCACCCCACAAATTCTGATATTTTGAACTGAGCACAAATGAAATGTTCTAATTTCCCTTGAGTCTTATTCTTTTACTCACGGATATGTTGTTTAGTTTGCAAGTGATTGGAAACTTCCAGTTTTTTCTTTTTGTTCAGTTTATTTCTCATTTAATTACATTATGGTCAGATAATATATTTTGAATGATTTCATTTATTAATTTTTCTTTATTTTTTTTTCAGACAGAGTCTTGCTGTGTCACCCAGGCTGGAGTGTTGGACTGTAGTGGCACAATCTTGGCTCACTGCAACCTCCACCTCCATGGTTCAACCAAACCAATTCCCCTGCCTCAGCCTCCCCAGTAGCTGGGATTACAGGCACACGCCACCATGCCCCACTAATTTTTTTGTATTTTTAGTAGAGATGGG